GATTGGCTGGGGGAGTGTTCTGTTTGGGTGGGGGCTTTGTTGTGCTCAGGTTAGTTTGAGTTGCAGGGGGATTTGAGATGGTGAGCTTCATTGCTGTTGTTTGGCTTCGTGTTCGTGGTCGTGCCACATCTTTATGGTGGGTGTCAGTTTGCTTCATGTATGGATTGGAGGGGTTTAAAGTGGCTAATGATGCAGCTGTCTATATATCTGTCTCTAATTACATTAAAAATTCAAATCCTGGGTAATGCCATGTATATGTATATTATATATATATAATAGATGATAGATGAGCTGTGGTGGCGCAGTGGTGAGACTGCAGCATTGCAGCCTAACTCTGCCAACTGCTGGGAGTTCGATCCTGACCAGCTCAAGGCTGTCTCAGCCTTCCACCCTTCCGAGGTCAGTAAAATGAGGACTCAGATTGTTGCGGGACAACAGGCTGACTCTGTAAACTGCTTAGAGAAAGTTATAAAGCGGTATATAAGTCTAAGTGCTATTGCTAGTGCTATCTCTGGGGGAACTTGTGAAGCCTGGACATAGTGTCAGAAGGATAAACTCAAGCCAAGTTTGCACAAGAATAAATAAAAGCGAAATCCAGAGAGCTGTGAGGAAATGAGATTTATTTATTCCCCAAAGCATAGAGATTTGCCTATGGAGGCAGCTACAGAGGAAATGGGGTACAGAGAGATTGGTTGATAGGGCAAGTTGTCCGGGGTGTGGAAGTGTGTGTAGGTGCTGATCTCTAATGTGACACTTGGGGTGTGTGGGTGTGTGTACATGCTGACCCCAGAGAAAGGGTTCATTAAATCAAGTGGTGTGGATTGCGTTTCTTCGTTTGAACTGTAGGTATTATCGCTATGTTTACATTGTGCCAATTGAGTTTTGTGTGTGGGCTTTTGTGTGTGTTTACAATCTGAAATAAAAGTGTTTAATTAATTCTTAGGTTTGCTGTAAGTCTGAAAAGATTTGGGGGGCTGTTAATCCATCGTTTTGTTGGAGACATACGATATATAATATTTCTAACCTACTTATATAAATTTATAAATTTAGGAATCTCTGCCACCAGCATCCACATCAGGGGTAGTCAACCTTGGCTCTTTTATGACTCGTGGACTTCAACTCCCAGAATTCCTGAGCCAGCTGTGCTGGCTCAGGAATTCTGGGAGTTGAAGTCCACCAGTCATAAAAGAGCCAAGGTTGACTACCCCTGATCCACATGCTTAGAGCAGCCTGTTGCCTCCTTTACACCAGGAAGTAAGTTGCCTAGGATGCAGAAATCGCCCGGATACTTGACTGGAAGCCTGGAGATTGAAAAAGGCAAAGACCCCAGAAGCTTCTCCAAGGCCCCCAGCTTCTCCCTGCCAACTTTACCTGTTCAATGTCCGGCTGGAGAGAGCTGTACAGCGGCCTCATCTCCACGTGCTCAGGGACCAGGCCTTGCTTCTGCAGGACGTGCAGGGCAAGCCGCTCCTCCACGGGACCCAGGTGGGGGTTTGGGGGCTTGGTCTCCTCTGAACCCAAGAGAAAAAGCAGAGATTTCACCCATCGGCCCAACTGGAAGGGGAGACATGATAGCAGCATTCCAGTATTTGAGGGGCTGCCACAAGGAAGAGGGGGTCAGGTTATTCTCCAAAGCACCAGAGGGAAGGACGAGAAACAATGGTTGGAAATTGATCAAGGAGAGAAGCAACCTAGAATTAAGGAGAAACTTCCTGACAGTGAGGACAATTAACCAGTGGAACAGCTTGCCACCAGAAATCATGGGAAACTCTATCACTGGAGGTTTTTAAGAAGAGACTGGACAGTCACTTGTCTGAGATGGTATAGGTTCTCCTGCTCGAGCGGGGGGCTGGACTAGAAGACCTCCAAGGTCCCTTCCAGCTCTATTCTATTCTATTCTATTCTATTCTATTCTATTCTATTCTATTCTATTCTATTCTATTCTATTCTCCAAAGCACCAGAAGGCAGGACAAGAAACAATGGTTGGAAACTGGCCAATGAGAGAAGCAACCTGGAATTAAGGAGAAACTTCCTAACAGTGAGGACAATTCACCAGTGGAACAGCTTGCCACCAAAAATCGTGGGCGCTCCATCACTGGAGATTTTTAAGAAGAGGCTAGACCAGAGGTAGGCAACCTTGGCTCTTTTATGACTCGTGGACTTCAACTCCCAGAATTCCTGAGTCAGCATGACTCAGCTTGGAAACCTCTCCCTTTCCCCTCAGCATGGCTGGCTCAGGAATTCTGGGAGTTGAAGTCCACGAGTCATAAAAGAGCCAAGGTTGCCTACCCCTGGCCTAGACAGTCATTTGTCTAAATGGTATAGGTTCTCCTGCTTGAGCAGGGGGCTGGACTAGAAGACCTCCAAGGTCCCTTCCAGCTCTATTCTATTTTAAACCCTCACAGTGAGTAAACCCTTCTCCCGCCTTGCTCTTGGGCCTTCTACAGATTGAAGAATCACTTCCATAACCACAGCAGTTTGGCTGACCTCTGGGAATCCCACCTCCCCCCCCCCCCCCCCCCCCAGCAGTAAGACTGAAGCCATCCAACCTCGCAATCCAAAATGAACAGGAAACGCCTGCAAGCATGAACGTAAATAGGGAATCCGGCTGTCATGGCTCCGACTAATGAAACACTTCAAAGAACTTCCAGGCATTTTATCCTAAAAAGTCTTTTTATTCATGTGACAAATTGTCGGCACGGCATGATAAAAAGGGATGCTAAGATCTGAAATCTCCACCCACCGAGCAGTTATTTTTGCTGGCATTTCCCCTCCCTTATTTTGCTGTCACGATTTACGTTCTCCAATTAGTTGGAAGGGCAAAGGTTCTCTTCCATTCCCTTTCAAGGGCTTTTCTCTCCTCCCTCCCTCAACTGAGTTAACTCTAAAAGTACCAGACGGTTCTGCCTATTTTGTCAAAGCAAGAATATTTCAATATTAGCAGCGTTGACATCGGCAAGGCAAAGTCTCTTCTGCCTGTTCCATGTGGGACCTCTTGGCTGTCCTTGCCATGGCCCAGCCATGGGACAATGTCTCTCTCTACTGGCCAGAATTTACAAACACAGGGCCTCTCTGCTGCCCACCCAGACCCCAAAGGTTGTCTGTTGGGAGATCCAAAAGAGGTGCTGGAAAGCTGGAAGACTCTGTCACCCTTGATATACAGAATAACAGAGTTGGAAGGGTCCTCTAATCCAACCTTCTGCTCAAGCAGGAGACTGGACACCAGGGGTCTTCCAACTTGGCCCTTCGATGACTTGTGGACTTCAACTCCCAGAATTCCTCAGCCAGGCACGCTGAAGCTACAAGGAAGCAGACGGGTGGGGCCTGTGTGTTTTTTTTTTACCTAGATCCGAGAGGCGGAACACCTCATCTCCAAAGACGATCTGGTCAGTCTTGTAAACAGGAGGTTTGCCGCTGTGTTGCAAGGAGAAGTGATGGAGGAGTTGCGTCGGGCGCTGCTGGTCTCTCCACTGGTTGGGTCCAGATCTGGAAGGGGAGAAAGAGGACGATAAAGCAGAGGAACCTCAAAGCGTTGTCCTCGGTCCAACTGCCTGCCAGGTCTGGGCAG